ACCCCCCCCCCCCACATCTGTCTCCTTTAACCAGATGTCAATTCTTCTATCACTGAATTACGGTCTATTGTCTCAGTCTGACTTTCTCATTTTGTTGCTGTGGAAAAAGACATGTCCTAATCCTGGACAGTTTAAATTTACACTTAAAAATGGGAATACAGGGATTTTAAAGCAAGGAAAAAAAGTCTGCTTTAAAAGTATCTCTCACAAATATATATATTTAAATATTAAAATAGGCTACATAGAATTCTTACAAAATGGCTTTTGAAAAGATAGTAGAGACGAAGAAGCCATATACTATCCTCCGACTGGACATAAGGTGCCATCAGGGTGCCTTAGAATGAGGCAGGTGCTCTCTCTGACACAGGAGCACCAGCGAAACAGGAAAATCAAACACTACTGGGACTTGGATTGAAACCAAATTTTACCCCTTTAGGGACTGTTTTTGGAAAATATCTTGAAATATAGGCATTAGAAGCCATCTCTCTGTATAAGGAGGAAAATGAATCGAGTGTGATGATCTGATTCCTTCCCAACACCTGACGGCATTCATTTCAGGCACCTGGAAGGAAGAGTGCAACCTCCAGTAGCTTAATGGCCCACTCTCAGTGTGAGAGACACAGCCTCTGTCAACTGGAAAACCGGTAACCAAAGAAAAGGAAGCTCTTAGAGAAAAACACACTTATACCCACTCACAGGAAAGGTTCTCCAGAAAAAGGTGTTTCATGGAGCTGCCGAATGCTTCCCACCTCTGAATGAACAGCCCCCACTAACACCAAGGGAAACAAGGGTGGGGAGAGATGGCGCTCCTCGCAGAGCAGGGAGGATTTCGCCTCCTCAGCAGGTGACGGTCTTTGTTTGGTAACCTGAATATTCATTTACAAGAACATTTAAAAAAAAAAATTTAATTGAATGATGAAATCAAGGACAATTTAATATAAGTTAAGAAACTGTAGCTCCTCAAGCCACGAGGTAGCAATTTTATCAACAAATCATCACAATTGAGCCCAGGGCTTTAAGCTTAATCAGAAAAATTATTCAATTGAAAAGAAAAAGGCAATAATAAAAAAAATTGATTTTATAAACCAGGCTCTTCAAACTAAAACACTGAGTTGTTTTTTAATTTTTAAAAAAGTTTTTGTTTTCTATCAATGGTCTGAACTCTTCTTTGTGAATGATTTTGTAAACAGGAACCTTGGTACTGGTTGGAACTGCCCTGGGTCCTTAACTAAAGCCGCCCAAGCACTTTCGGGAGGCTCACTTTTCCTATGCTGCCAAACTGAGACTCCAGCAACACTGCCTTCCATCTGTCTTTGTAAAGATATAAAGACATGGATCTATTATTTTTTTCTCCTATCATAAAAATATCACTATGATATAGTAAAACTAACGGTATAGTTTAGTATGAAGAAAAAAAAGTACAACTATGATGTCACCAAGAGTCTTTTCATCCCATAAGCTGACAGATTTAACTTTCCCTTAATAAATCTCAACATACTTATAATGTAAAAATGAAATATCCAGAGTGTCTGTTCCTCAGCTGGACCTGGCAGTTGGCTCAATTTCACGTCATTGCTTCATCTGAACCATTATTGCCTTCTGCAAATTTGTCTTGCTGAGGACCTTCTACTGTCACCACATCCTGTCATGCAACTGAAAGGTAAAAATGGGTCCAGGCAAAATAAGGAATGACTTAATTTAAACTCTGATTTTAACTTAAAGCCTGTGGGACTATGTTTAGCTATAAATATTCCTCACAGGTGTGTTTACTACAATAGAGCTTCCCCCAATTTTGTTTCACTGCTTCAGGGAAAAAAAAAAAATCAAGTTTCTACATTTTCTTCTCTCAGTAACTTTCAAAATCTAAATATATTATAAATAAAGCATCTTATGTTAATAACTTACAGTGGAGAAACCACAATTAATTATTACCTTTGAGCAACTGTGGGTCCTTTCAAAGTGAACTTTATGAGCTCCCCCTTAATGTTAGCATCTAGAAAGCTGTCACCCCTCCTTGCACGTGTATCTGTTATGACTCCACGTTTCGCAGATGAGGGGAAACAGTAAGTGCTGCATGACAAGTTCTCATTCTCTTCATCAATTCCTCAAATCTCAAACTCCTTTCAGTTAAATATTATAATTTTAGGATTGTTCATTCACCAAGTAATAATAATTCTCTCCATTTGGGATTCCAGTACAAATCACCACACAGTCATGTATTTTTCAGGGACTACAAAGCTGAAAGAGATGAAAACACGATCTGAGAATCTTCAAAATAAAAGCCACTAAACTAGATAACTGGCCACTATTTAGATTAAGATAAGTACAAGAATAAAAAATAGTAAGAAAAAGAAAATACTGAACAAGCAATAGAGCTTTCAAAGGCTCCCAGGGAACCACTTATACTTCAGGAGAGACCTGCTCAGTAGCTGGAAGGTAAGTGTTACCAATGATAAGTACATTAGTGTGCTGACTAGTCCACCCATTCGGTAAAATGCGTTAGTGAAATGGAAGCTTTTTCATTTGTTTTTAAAGCCAAAGGGCACATGCCATAACATGGAACCAAATCCAGAATGGTTACTGAAATGTTCAAGTGTAAGGCTGAAGGGGGTTATTTAAACATTTTAGTTCACCCTGTCTCACTGAGATCAAGAACTTTAAAAACTGGCTATGCAACTAAATGTATAACCAATTACCTGAAATAAAAATTAAGATTACTTGAAATTCAAATTAAGAAAAATTCACTTAATATATTTGTGGGTGACAAACTTCATCAGCTTCCCTTTACAGAAAACTTAAAATTTAAAAAAGTAAATAAAACCCAATATTAATCTATTTCTGAATTAGTACAATCACTGACCTGCTAGATGTGTCCACTGTTAGAAAACACCCTCAGAAATGGAGAGTGGCTGCAGGAATTGCATCCCCACTGTCACAGCAGCATCTTTGCTCACTTCTAAAGTATATCTCACCTATTTGGTGGCTTAAAAACGGAAAATAAATGTTTTTTGTGTATAAAATACTTGGTTTTAAAAAGGCAATTTATCCTGCATCCTAAAATTTAAGCCCTTTAAATATGACAGTTACCCTCTTGGGCCTTAAGAAAAGGCAGCTATGCTCAAGTTTTCAAAACTGGAATTTTTAATGTTTAGTTAGACCGACAGTTTCTAATGAATGAGACAATGTAGCTGGCTTTCATTTGTTTGCAATGTTTTCCATATATTCTCGTAAAAATTACATATCCAGACATCCCTCATGTAGATGAATTCCAAATAAATCTAATCAACACTATATACAATTATCCCTCCCAGCTTTTCTAAAAGAGATCCATAAGCTAAATATTCTTAAACTGTGTATCAAGTAAAACGTAGAGCCTCCCTGGAGTCGAGAAAGAAGGCGTCTGTCTATATCGTTTTATGTTAAATACTAGTTAGTTAACCATATTGCTAACATCTGGAGAGGAGACAAGTAACCAAGTAAGCACTTTCACAGTACTATACTCAGAGTAGCCACTGATGGTAATTCTACATTCTGAGAACACAGAATGCCTTTGAGCTGCCCAAACTGTGCCAACTATTAAAGAAGCGTTCTCGGGACAGGTGTGCTAACCCTTCCTACCAACAAGATCCCCCAAGGGTTCTAACACATTTCTTTAGCCCCATTTTCTTCCTTTTCAAAATTACTCTTAGAACTGAGACAACAACTGCTGGTCATAATTCTGCCTATTTTTTGTCCTGTCTATAAAAGATTTAAAAATTAACTTTGACATTTATCTATCGGTAGGCATAACAGTTTTCAAAGTATGTGACTTTAAAAATTCCCGACCTTCCAGCTGAGACCCAGCAGGACTGTTACTATGCCTACTGCAGAAGCAATTCAACCCTAATAGTAAAGAAGTATGAATGGTGGAAGCCCATCACAACCTGTCTACGCTGACTTTCCTGAAGGTAACACACGTACGTCTGAGAACGAAGGGTAAAAACAGGTTCATGACTGAGATAAGAAGTTGGAAACAAGTTGAAGACAGCAGAATATGGAAAGAGGCTGAAGGAAAATTAACCTAAAAAATCTTCAACAAGTTTACTTTTCCTTCCTTTACATTTGTGGGAGATGAAATAATTCACAGAATTAGCAAAGTTTAAAAAAATGAAACAAAAAATGTATTTTATTATTAAGGTCTAGCACCTGAACGAAATTTAGATCTTGTGTTGAATAAGAAACTATATTTTATTTCCTTTTATCTGATCTAATCAGGTGCTTTCATAATTATTAAACTTTGGGTATATACATAGAAGAAGAGTTACTCAGAGTTCACTGTTCATAAACTCATGAATATTTAGGAGTAAGGTAAGTGATGCTTTAAATGTAACTAGATAAGTATACTCTAGCCTAGAGGAGCATATAAATTCAATTATAAATCATGAAGTTTCATTTTTTTTAGCAGCAAAAGAGGTGATATTCATTAATTTAAGATTTTTAGCTTTTCTTTAGTCTTAACAATTGTTTTCCCCCAGGTTTATGAGTCACAGGCCATCATTCTGAGCCTTTTCTCATCTTTTACATTATTGCTTATGTTGTGTGAAAACTACACTAACTGATTTTAATAAACTTGGCAAGGTCTAAAAATATTTTGGAACAAAGATAAAGTATCAGTGTCATATGGGACTTTTGTAAACAATCTTAGTTGGGTTAAGAACGTAGCCTTAACAGAGAATTTATTATTTTGTCTAAAACAGCACAATAAAAACACCCCCAACAATACATAAACCTACATATAAAATATAGAGTATCTCTAATATTTTTCCTTTATATAGTATCACGACCGTATATGCAAGAGAAAGTATTGTGGGTGGGGCAAGAGGAAACTGATTTAGGCAGTGACCTAATTAGTCAGCAATTAACATTCAAAGACCAAGTAAACAATAATTTCAGCCAGAAAAGCAGTATTGTAGAGTCCCTATGAGACTGACATTTACCTACCACATTCTCCATTCCTGGCCATTTCATGCATAGCTGGACTATTCTCAATCACGGTTCGTTGCCTTCTTTTGCAGAAGAAAGGTAAGATTATTTGGAGGACTGGTTCTATAAAGGTATAGGCAATGCCTATACTGATACCAAATTTTCACCATGAAAAATCAAAATAGAAATGACAAAGCTTAAAAAAAAAAAAAAAGTATGTTGGATTTCAGAAGTATTTACCCTAATAATTTTTAAGAAGGTTTACCACAAATACTTCCAAAAACAACAGGCTTTACAAAATACTGTACAACGTCTGGTGTATAGGAGTAAACATCTATTCAGGCCGCCTGTCAAATTCTTTTCAGAAATTTGTTTCTGGTGTACCCTTTCAGGAAGGTCAGTATTCACCTGACCCCTTCTTTACCTGACGAGCTGCTGTTCCTACTTTTAACAACGCAAAAAGAAACAGGTGTTTTAAGTCAACTGGTTTTCCTTAAGTCTCACAGTCTGTATTCTGTTTCGACACCATGTTATTGTGCACTTACAGAAGCAACCTCCCAGTCATGAAAAACAAAACATCAATTGCAAGGGTCACAAAGTAAAAGGGAAATTCTTTCCCAAACCCTTTTTTGTTTAAAAAGTAAAATTAAATTTAAATGTACAAGACCAAGCACAGGCACTTTCCAAAAACCAAAATGAAGCGAAACCATGGAATTACTCAATAGTTATAGAAGACAGCTCTGATTTTGGGGGGTCCTCTCTGGTGGCCTCGGCACAAACACTGGTCTTTGGCTGCTCCGGCATTTCCTCCTCCTTTTCTGCCAGCCCACCAAGAGACCCCAAGGGGAAAGTGCTTTCACAATTTTGGGTTGAGGAGACCTGTGAAATTACAGGCATTTGAACAGAGGAGTTGCTTTCAAAACTGTGTTCTCCAAGATCATACTGAACAAGGGTCTCTTCTTGCTCGTGGTTCAAGTAGTCCGGTACTAGGAAATCACTAAGAGGCAAGGATGAAACAGAGAGTTAATTTTCAAACCAGCAATAAGTAAGACACAATAAAAAGACCTGATTTGTAAAACAAGACTGGGACTTTTTTCTCTAATTCTTGAATGAAGATTAAAACTTAGGAATTTAACTTCTAAACTGTCCTAAATATGAACCAAAGAGCTCCGTTAGAACAAAAGTATGTCAACTCTCACTACCACCTACCACGGATGGATAAGATCCAACGTCCCCTTTCTTGTTTCATGTAGAAGAGTTTCTGTTAAGCAAAGGTCATCTGAATAATTTATGCTTAACCTTTCTTGGACTATGTACTTATTAAAAGGCATATATATAGGCCCTGGCGTGGTATTTCAGTTGGTTAGAGCATTGTCTGATACTCCAAGGTTGCGGGTTGGACCTCTGGCCAGTGCACATACAAGAATCAACCAATGAATGTGTAAATAAGTGAAACAACAAACTGATGTTTCTCTCTCCCTTCCTCTCTCTCTCTAAAAAAAAAAAAAAAAAATTTAAAAAATCAATAAAAGGTTTATAAAACTAATTTTATTACTTCCAGAACATAAGTATCCTTATGTATAAATAATCTTACACAAAATCTACTATATAGAGAAATGTAGAAAACTAACTTGTGTGTGTCCTGCTATTAGATTTGGCATATGAAAATTAATAAACTACATTTGAATCAGAATTTGGAAATGAATGCCATGAGATTAGTTACATTTTAGCCCTCAGAGACTATTTAGTTTACTGTTATTGAAAGTATTTAATAGTCTATTGATATAAATTATACTTAATGAATGTAAAATATACCAAAATTTTAACAGTAGATATTATTCCTGAGTGGTGAGATCAGAAAAGGTCTTTGATTTTTTATATTTTATACTTTTTAATATTTACTATATTTTTTACTATAAGCATTTTCAGTTAAAATAAACATGAAATAAGTTTTACGTTAGATGCTTCATGTAAATCTTTATTGCTTCACTATACTAGAAATGTCAACTCATCACTTAATAAAGTTATTTTATAATTTAGTTGTCCAGTATTAATAAAAATATTAAAATCTGCTCGTCAGTAAAGTAATTTCAGATGCCATGTTACACTTTCTAAAAACTCTTCAGGTGTCAGACAGGAGATGTGAAGGACAGAGGGGCTCTGGGTTGGAGAGACACAGACAGAGGAGTGATTAATGGAGACTATTTTAATCCCAAATGATGTTTAATGTGACAAGTATAATCTAGGTTCAGTGATGTGACCACCAAATGCTCAGAGTTAGAAAAAATTACATTAAACAAAAGTGAATGTTGTCTGATTTGAAGAGGAAAACAAAACCTATGCAGGAATATTTGGAATTAAGAAATAAGATTTAAAAAATAAAAGTGGTTTAAAATTTAAGAATCATTTTATGAGAAACTGAGCATTCCTATAGATGTATTAAAAATAGACAACAAAATTTTCTATCTAGAGGGGACCTTAGAAATCACCCTCAAAGCTCAGTTTATCTTTTCTAACTTTCAAGCTTCTTCATCAGGAAAGTGACGTATTTGATCATGACAGAAGTTAGTGACAGAACTAGAACCTGATTTCCTCAGATGCCCTATAAATCAGAAAGGCAATTCCATTACAAATTATTAATAGTAAAAGCATGAAGCTTTAAGCTGAAAGAAAAAAGGAAAACTCTGTTTGCTCTAAATAATCATATCCATCATAACTGCTACTGAAATTTCTCTCTTATTGTATATTCCTTTCATATAGAATTAAGAGAGAGAAGTGATCAAGAATTTTAACATCTAAAGAGTCTGAAGTAATCCAGCATCACTAAGCATCATCTGACATGGCAAGTTTTCCAGTAAGGTCTATTTAAGACCCACTACAGAATTACTTTAACATTATAAAAATAAACACCACACACACAAAAAACCCAAGAATATAAGTAGCCTACTCCTGTAGGAAAAGATTTCTAATTTCAAATATAGTAATATTTTTAACTGTATCTACTTAGGAGATTCAGCAAAATTTTATCAGATCAGGAGATCAGAGTATGGACAGTGCAAATTTAAAGGGAATGTGACTGATTACCTGGCAACCTGATAAAGACAAAGTAGGCTGCCCTAAAAGCAGGGAAAGAGAGTTTAGAAAGCAGTTTTCCTGGTTCAGTCCTCGTCGTGCACCTCACCTGCTCTGGAAGTAGTTTGCTAGCTCTGACGCTTCATGGTTCAGACTCCTCAGGTGCACGATTAAATTTCCAGAGTTGGTGAACATGGCGCCACATGTTTTGCACTCGTAAATCCGAGGCTTGCGGATAATGTGCCGGGAAACCCTCATGTGGTGCTTATATTCCCCGAAGGAAGTGAAAGTGGCACTACATATCTGGCACCGGAAACAGCGTTTACCTTCATGCTTTAGGCGATGCATCTTTAGCGAGTAAGCCCTGGTGAACTTTTTTCCACAGCGGTCACACTGAAATGGTTTAATTCCTGTAAAATAAAGCAAAGTATCTAAAAGCAAAATGAACTAAAACGTCATCAACCTCACAAATTTCTGAACTATAATTCTGTAGGAATTTGAAAAGACAAAAATCACCAGCAAAAATGAATTCCAATTAATTATCTCAGGAAAGGTACAGAATATTTGAAGTCGCTACTGCCTATTTTATTTTTTTTTAAAAAGAAAGCAAGCCAAGAGGAGTGGGGTAAACTCGGTAATATATACTCAAATTGATTTCTGAATACTCTTCGAAATCAGATATATATTTTACAGACTTCAAAACACAATTTAACTACAGTATTTAAACAGAACCCAAATCCCCATTTAACACCTGTTCCATTTCATTGAAGTAGTGAGGTTTACACTGAGAAGATGGGAAGAAAATCAGTAGCTACTCTTCATTCCTTATCTCAGAGAAATGAGATGGTAGAAGAAAATTCTAACTTCTCTAAACATAATGATCACGATAGAACTACCATTTGATACCTTGGGTTTTTAGGTATTTAATAGTGATAGAAAAAAAATAGAAATTTACATGTATATTATTAATTACATTAACGGTCTCCAATTCATTATCAAAGTTTTGGCAAAACAAATTTTAAACCTTCAAAATATAATCTGTTGATTTAACAAAGTCACAAGAAACTGGTATTAGTCACAGGGACTGTCAGACCTTCTAAAAGAGGCAAGTGAGACAGAACAGCTGAAAACAACAGCAAAGATTTCTTACTTATCAGAGGTCAATGTTTTACCTACAAGAATTCTGCTGCCTTTATGTGATCACTGAACTTAAGTTTCAAATCTGTTTTACACATCATTTAACCAAAATCTCTTTCACACTAAAAAAGGAGTACAAAGCTAACTAGCCAGGGAACAGAGAAATTCAGGATTGCAGAACTAAAATTATTATTATTAAATTGTAAAAATCACTTTTTATTTGGAAATAATTTCAAACTTAGAGAAGTTGTAAGAACAATACAAAGAACACCAATATATACCCTTCTAACCCCATTTGCTTTACAACCTGTATTTGTGCTTCTCTACCTCACATATATACACACACCTAACATATATCCATTATCTTTCTTATTTACATATTATACACACACACTGCTCCACTAACTGTTAATCAGAGTACTTCTGTTTCTGGAAAATATATTAAGGGAATATGTTCTGATGCTGCACCATTTCAGCAATAGACCTAGGCTTATCTGTTCTCATTTGACTTCCCAGAGCTACCTACATATTTTTTTAACTCAAAAACACCTATTTTCTATTTTTAACTGGGATTGCCACAGTAGGGAAGATGACATTACCTGAGTGGATGAGCATGTGCTGTTTTAGGTTCTGAATGCGGGTGAATCGCACCCCACAAGTCGGACACTGAAAAGGTCTGTCGGGACCATTTGGGCTGGGCCGTTCTGTACTGCTGGTAGAAGGAGCAATGTAGAGTTGATAGGGATACTGAACATTTTCCAATCTAAAAAACAGACCAAAGAAGGCAACCAGGCTCTGATTTTTAAGTTGAATAAACATTTCTGCACTTTAAATGAACAAAAGACAAGACACTTAAAGACTGTTTGAAACAGTTCAACTGTCAGATGACATGTTTCATTTACAGCAATGTGAAAAACGTCCGGAATGGCTAGCATCTTAAGTGAGGATGTATGGCCACAGAACATACCATGAACACTTTTACCTCAGCTATCTGTAATCTTTCAAATCCTTTCCTTCCTACCACTGTTTTAATTTAGGCCCTCAACAATACAACGTTGAATTAATAACTCCCTCTCTTTAGCCCCACAGGCCTCTAAATCCATCTTTCTGTTTCACAACAACTTCTTCGATTGAATCAGCCCTCCTTTTAAACTCCTGCAATGGTTATCTTCAGAATAAAGTCTAAACCCTTTGCAAGGCACTCCTTTTGATCTGGGTTCTGAGTACTTTTCCAGTCTCACGTCTTGACATACTCCCCAAACATTCCCTATACCAAGTGGTTCCTGCTAACAGTTCTCTCAATGCTGGGCTTTTGTACACTGAACTTCCTCTACTAGTCTATGTTCTTTGCCTAGATAACGCCTAGTCATTTTATGAAATGTACCAAAGTCACCTCCTCCTCCTGGAAGCCTTCTTTGATTTATCAGTGACTTAGGTAAGTACCTTCCTATGCAGAGCAATAGAACCCTCGAGCAGATCACTCGAGATTTTGTTTAGTTGTCTATCTTCAACCTCTCTCCCTCCCCCAAAAGTGGTTTGATCCATTTGAGGGCAAGAACTATACATTTCATCGATAATATCTCTACTACTTACCGCAGTATCTAGTATAGAACAGACAACCTCATTAATGTTTGAAATTAAGGAACTGAGGCACATTTCCACTTGTTTACAGCTTCACTAATTATTCAATGACTGGTACCTAACCTGCTCTGCCGGGTGTAGCTATTCCAGAATAAATCTTGCCGCAGCCTTTGAATCCTTCCAGTTTTCAACAAATAGTTTTTACATCTGCCCCAGGCTCTCTTTGAGGAGTTAATTCAGTGGAGTGTATATGCAGTGGTCAGAGACAGATAATACTCAAAAAAATGATCAGAAGGAGAATTAAAATAGGGTGAAACAACAGTGATTAGTGCTGCTTTATTTTAGACTGGTGGTCAGGAAAAGGTTCCCTTAGAATTGACAAAAGCAGAAACAAATACAGAATATTCCATGAACAGAAAGGAGATCTATACGACTAAAATGTAGTATGCGAGGAGAATGGTCAGAAGGGAGTTGGACAGAAAATGTTATCATGTAGGGCTTTAAAAGGCATTAGCAAGGAATTTAGATTTTAAGTGTGAATCTACGCGAAACATTTAAGAATCTACTGCTTAGCATCCATAACCTGACTTAAAGAACAAGATCATTCTAGCTACTACATGGAGAAGGACTGGAGTAGGGGGGAGAATGAACTCAGGGGCCAGTTAAAGGCTACTGCAGTGTTCAAGGCAAAAGATGGTGGTAACTTGGGTGGGCGGTTGTAGCAGAGATGGAGGGTAAGTGGACTGATAAGGAGTGTGTTTTGGAGGTAGAGATGTGAGGACTTGCTTAAGGATCAAATATGGAGAGGAGCAATGGGGAGTGAGGGAAAGAAGAAGTATAATCCCTAGAGATATTGCTTGAGAAATTAGGGGAATGATGATGCTATTCGCTGAGAGGGAACGAATGAAGGAGTAGGCTTGGAAGGGGAGTTGGAAGTTCTGCGTTCTTCCTGGCCATGTTAAGTGTGAAATGCCCCTTATACATCTGTGTGGAGGCACTGAGCAGGGAGGGTAAGTCTGAACATGACCTGGGAACACTGGTGTACAGATGAGGGTATCACAAATGTTTTCTGTCGCAGGTTAGAGGGTAAGTATTTCTGGCTCTGCACACATGATCTGTCTCAATCACTCAACTGTGCCATCCACAGACAAGATGTAAACAAGTAAGTGCAGCTATGTTCCAATAAAACATGATTTACAAATAAAGGCTGGTGGGGTGGAGCTGGCCTGTGGTACATAGTTTGCCAACCTGATACAGACACTATTTAAAGTGATGGGACTGGGCAGTTTTGAAAATGCTAAGAAACCGCTATATAGGTGGTTTGATTTATGATGTGATAATGCTACCTCGTTACTATGAAAAATATACTAAAATGAGGTCCCAATAAACTTCCTATATAATCCCCAGATAAAAGACTTAATCTTAAGAGTGGCAAGCACAGTCCTTAAAGGAAACTAACATACTATGTTAGTACTGACCGATCATCATCATCTGCATGAGCATTAGTGCTAGAAGTGCTCTGAAGTGTAGGTAACCCTTCGGTGACGCCTTCGTCTACAGAGCCTGAAAATAAAAGAAGACAGCTGTCAATACTTTGGTGTAAATAAGCCTAGATACTAATTTCAAGCTGTATCTTCAAGCTTTTAAAAACAAACTAATGTACACATATATCCTGAATTATTAAGCAAAAGTAAGTGTTCTGTTATATTTTACTTCAAATGTTGATGTGATTGAAACAGAAATCGTGTAAGACAACAGCCTTATATTTATTACTTAAATTCTTTTAGGAGTATTTCTTTGATATAAGTGTTAGAAACAAGCAGAGCAATTAAATGTAAACTAAACAAAAATTAACGTAAAATTAAATATAACAATAATCACTTAAGGAACCAATTTTTATTTTTTACAAGTTTTATCATGACATACAACTTACTTATTGTACATACAACTTTTACACAGAATTAGAGACAGCTATAAGGTGAGCACCTGTGCCACCTCCACGCATGTCCCACTGGAACACTGCCAGCATCCTAGCAGTCCCTTTACCCTTCCCTGGCAAACCCCTCCTTCCAAGAGGCAACCATTATCCTGATTTTAATGGTCATCATTTCCTTCCTTTTTTCCTGTCCTCCTTCAAGTACCCATAAACTAGGGGTTGTTTCTGTAGGAACACAGCCATGTACCATCTACCATGTACTATCACACAACAGCAGCAGAGTGGAGTCATCGAGGTTGCAACAGAGACCATGTGGCAGCTAAGTCTAAAAATATATACTATCCTGCCCTTTAAGGAAAAGTCTGCCACTCTCACCTTAAATAGTACAGTTCAGTGTTGTCTAGTTGTAAATTTATATAAACTGAGTCATACTGTGTCTTGTTTCTTTCCTTCAATATTGCAGGCCCATCCAAGCTGTTACAGGTAAGTGAAATTTAAAAATTGTTGTATGATATTCATAATCTATTTCCCTCTGGATAGACAGATTCAGGCCATTATGAACAACGCTGCTGTGAATATTCCTGTACAAATAACTAAATGCACATATGCATGCTTTTTTTCTAGAGTATCTAAACTCAGGAATGGAATTGCTCGGTCATAAGATATGTTTATCTTTGACTTTATTAGAAAATGTAAAACTCTTTTCGAAAGTGATACTGAATTTACCTTACTACCCAGTGTATGAGTATTATGTTGCTCCACATCCACAAACACTTGATATTATCGGATTTTTATAATTTTGCCAATCTGGTGGGTGTGCAGCAATATTTTATTGTGGTTCAAGTTTCATTTCCCTTATCACTAATGAGGTTGAGCACCTTTTCATGTATTTACTGAATCCCTTCTTCTGAGAAATGCCTGTTCAAGTTTGGTTATTGAGTTGTTTGCTTTTTATTATGAGTTCTTTTCTATATCAAGTATGTATAACCCTTTGTCAGTGATACATGTAACAAATATTTCTCCCTCTTCCATGACTATTCTTTTTATGGTTTCTTTGGATGACCAAAGTTTTACATTTTAATTCAACTGAATTTATTAGTCTTTTCCTTTATGGCGTTTTGGTCTTATTTTAAAAAATCCTTCCCCATCTCAAATTATCTTACAAAAGATTTATATTTTGCCCTTGACATTTAGGTCGTTTTAAAAACCCACCTGGAGTTGATTTTGTGATTCAACACATTTATTGAAAAACTCGTCTTTTCTTCTCTGCAGTGCACTAAACACATGGTCTGTTTCCAGGTTTTCTACTAGTTCCATCTGCTTGTCTGTATTTGCATTAATGCCAGTCTTTAGTTACCATCGCTTTATAATAAATTCCGGTATCAGGTAGAGCAAATCTTCTTACCCTGTTCATTTGCTTCCTGAACATCTTAGCTATTCTTGGACCTTCGCATGTCTTTACACATTTCAGAATCAGCTTGCTGGATATAAGCGATAATAATCATTCCATTTACCCCCTTTTATTAGTTTGAAAATTACACAATCTTTTCCCATTCTTTTTTACTGGTTACTTTAGAAATTAGACCCATACTTATCAAAGTCTAAAATTAAAACCTTGACTTCCTCCTGAGATAATACAGGGTAGGGAAAAAGTAGGTATAGAGTTGTGAGTATGCGAAAGAGTTTACTATTGTATTATTAATTATTGTATTATTTTCACATGGGCTGTAAACCTACTTTTGCCCCACCCTGTATAAGAATCTTAGAACACTTTAACTCCATATCCCACTCAGTCCCACTCTGCAATTTACACATTATTGTGATATTTTACTTCGTTTTTTAAAAAATATATCTTTATTGATTTCAGAGAGGAAAGGAGAGGGAGGGATAGAAACATCAATGATGACAGAGTCATTCATCGGCTGCCTCCTGAATGTGCCTTACTGGGGATCGAGCCCGCAACCCGGGCACGTGCCTAGAACAGGAATAGAACCTCAACTGCCTGGATCCTAGGTCAACGCTTGAATGCTGAGCCACGGTGAGTCGGGCTACTTCCTTGTTTTGATAAAGCCCCACAAGACATTACTACTTTTATACAGCAATGACTATCTAAATTTGTTCACATACCTTTCTTTGCTCTTCATTCCTACTTGTATATCAGATCTTTCATCTGTGCTCACTTTACTTCTGCCTGAGTCTGCCCTTAAAAATTTTCAAACTTTTTAATTTTTCAGTTACAGTTGACATTCAATATTATATTAGTTTCAGGTGTACAGCAATTAGACCTTTATTTAACTTATGAAGTGATCTCCCCATACGTCTAGTACCCACCTGATACCACACACAGTTATTACAATATTATTGACTTGTTTCACTTCCTATGCTGTACTTTACATTCCCAGGACTATTTTGTAGCTGCCAATTTGTGCTTCTTACTCTATTTTTTACCCATCCCCCACTCCTATTTGGCAACCATTAATTTGTTCTCTGTATCTAAAAGTTTGTTTTTGTTTTGTTTGTTCATTTGTTTTTTAGATTCCACATATAAGTAAAATCATATGGTATTTGTCTGACTTATTTAGCATAATACCCTCTAGGTTCCTTCATGTTTTTGCAAATGGCACGACTTCATTATTTTTAATGGCTGAGTAATAATATTCTATTGTATATAGTAACCACACTTAAGAATTTTTTAAGAATTTTCTTTAGTGATGATGTGCTGATGAACTGTTTTTGCTTCTTTGAAAATGTTTTTATTTCACTTTAATTCTTGAAAGGTATTTTCACGGCATGTAGACACCTACACTAGCAGTTATTTTTTTCAGCACACTGAGGGTATTGTTTCCCTGGCTTCTGATGTTATTAGAAAGTCAGACAGTCTTCTGAAGATACTGCCATCACCCCCTTGCCCCCCCAAAACTGTCTCTATAATGCATCTAGCTTTGTTTCTTTTATTATTCTTATTTGGGATTTGCTGGAGTTTTTCATCGGTTCTGGAAAATTCTCAGCCATTCTCTTCTCCTTTTAGGACTTCCATCAAACTAATGTTTGTATCGTCCATAACCTTTACCTTCTCCACTGTAGGCTCTACCACTACCTCTGTGATGGTTAATTTTATATATCCACATGACCGGGATGAGGGATGCCCAGATAGCTGGTAAAACATCATTTCTAGGTGTGTCTGTGAGGATGTTTCTGGGAGAGATTAGCATTTGAATCTGTAGACTGAAGATTTCTTCACCAATGCAAGTGGATATCATCCCATCCCCTGACTAAAGAGAACAAAAGGTGCAAGGAGGGCAAGTTTGCTCCCTTTGCTTGGGCTGCTCCTGGCTCCATCCTCTCCTGCTCTTGGACATCAGCTCTCCTGCTTCTCCGGCCTTTGGGTCTGGGCTAGAGCTACACCACTAGCTTACCTAGGCTTCCAGCCAGCAGACGTCCAATTGTGGGACTTCTCATTCTCCATAATTGTGCCAGTGAAGCCCTTCTAATAAATCCCTATAAATCTATCCTCTTGGTTCTGTTTCCCTGGAGAACCCTGACTAATACAGTCTCTTCTAATGTATCTTCCTTTTTTTTTTTTTTTTTAAACTATATCTTTATTGATTTCAGAGAGAGGAAAGGAGAGCGAGAGATAGAAACATCAATGATGAGAAAGTCATTGATTGAGCCCGCAACCCGGGCATGTGCCCTGAGCAGGAATCGAACCCCGATCGCCTGGATCCTGGGTCAACGCTCAACTGCTGAGCGACACCCGGCCGGGCTCTAATGTATCTTCTGATTCACCAATTCTCTTTTCTGCTAAATCCAATTTGCTGGCCAAAATGTTGACTTGAGTTTTTTATTTTAGTCATTTTTTTCTTTTCCAGAAGTCCTTTTTGTTTTTCTCAAATCTGCTATACTATTTTTTAGTTTACTGTGTGCTCTGCAATTATTGTTCAAGCTTATTTATTCTGTTAAACATAGTAAGCATATTTGTTTTATATCTGTATGTGAAAAGCTTGCCAATCTATCTCTGCTGCCTGCTTTCCCCCTGTTGGTTCTCTGTCTGCTGTGTTTCCTTGTGTGCCTTGATTGTTTCTGACTGTAGTTATTGCCCTTAAAAATGGTTTGTAAGGGAATGATTTGCTGATGTTAGGATGAGTATGTCCCTTTTCAGAGAAGCTTTATGTTTCCTTCTGCTCAGTTCCTGGGGGGCACTAACTACCTAAACCAAATTCACTGAGATTCCTTGGCTTGCCCATGTAAGCAATAACCAAGAAGTAAATCTGCAAGGTCTCGGTGGTGGCCACAACTTCTCAGAAATGTGTACCCCTTTTTGCCTTTTATCTTCTAGTCTGCCCAATGCCAACGCAGCTGTTTCTACAGTCCCTGGGAGTCTGGAGGAAGGGGAGCAGGGTTAGTTTTACTGGCACAGAACTCTGGGGTCCCTAATGCGTGAAATAACTGCCCTAAAATTTCACAACTTTCACATCCTCTGGGTCTTGCCTTCTATTTCCCTCACTCTCTGAGTTGATGAACCAAAGTCCATTTGTGTTTTGGTATACATCTTAGGGAAAAACTGGTTTTAGTGCTCTGATATCTACTTACCTCTCTGGGGCAGGCTGTCCTCTAAAATTAACCATCT